AAAGGCAGGGAATAAAAGACTGTGTGTTCCCAGTAGTGAGTCTTTGCGTAGTTTATTTTTAGGAGAATGCCATGATGCAACTGGTCATTTTGGATACAAGAAGACATCAGCGAACTTAGTACAGAGATTCTGGTGGCCCTCTATGATGTTAGATGCAACACACTATGTTGAAACCTGCCAGGTTTGTCAAAGGGACAAACCAAGGACTCAGGCACCACTCGGGCTGATCAAGCCCTTGCCGATTCCTGAAGGATCAGGTCAGAGTGTGTCTATGGATTTTATGGACACCCTTGTGACCAACAGGTCTGGAAAGAGACACATCTTCGTTATAGTGGATCGTTTTTCTAAGTATGCCAGACTAATCGCTATGCCTAAAAGTGCTAAAACTGACCACGTCAAACTGTTTATGGATAATTGGGTACGTGATTCCGGTTTGCCTACATCTATCGTTAGTGATAGGGATGTGAGATTCACAAGTGAACTGTGGCATTCAACCGCTGAACAGATGGGCACAAAACTCCAAATGACCTCAGGGAATCACCCTGAGTCAAATGGCCAGGCAGAGCAGATGAACCGAGTAGTACAACACCTTCTTAGACATTATATTAAGCCAAGTCACGATGACTGGGACGAGAAGTTACCGCTCGTCGCCAGCCTGTAAAACAATGCTGTGCATAGTGCTACCGGTATGACTCCCAACCAGTTACATCTTGGTTGGAAGCCCAGAACTGCACTTGACTTTCTGCTACCAGAAAACAACCCACTGCAGCACCTGGCAGCATAGATTTTGCTGTCAAATATGAACAGATGCTGCAGCAGGCCGTCGAAGATATTAGGAACTCTCAAGATGCTATGATCGCATCTGAGAATAAGCATAGACGGCCCTCTAACTTTCAGGTAGGTGATAGAGTCTGGGTAAAGTCATCTGAACTAGGTCAGGAGATGGGAATATCCCGAAAACTGATGCCACAGTATTTTGGGCCCTGGGAGATCTTGGACATTGTAGGGGATCAACCCGATGGGCCTTCATATGTGATCCGTATTCCTACACACCTACGCACTTACCCTGTGTTCCATGCTTCCAAGTTGGCACCTTTCGCTGCTACGGAGCAGTTTCCTTTAAGAAGATCAATGCTGCCCCCAACCATGGACTGTGAGGTGGACATAGATCAGATTGTGGAACATCGAATGATGCCTGTTCCTCGACCATCAGGCAGAGGGCGCCCTCCTAAACCGAGAATGCAATATCGTGTGAGCTTTAGACATCACCTCGATCCCAAGGAAGATCGCTGGTTCACACGAGAGGAACTCATGAGAACAGCACCTCAAGTGATTGCAGGCTATGAAAGAGAACGAAAAGGGAAGATGCCTGCAGAGTAAGAGACTTCTCAGAGGACTAACAAAGTAAAGGAGGAGGGAATGCGAGGATCAAGGTTTCCGGTAGGCCTAAGGGGCCCTGTTTGCAGCATTGCCTGCCCTAAGTGAAGGCGGAGGTGCCCGCCCTAAGTGAAGGCGGGCCTGACATATCGCAAGAGGCCCCCTACTGTCAATTTCATATTTGGGGTCCAGGCAGTTGCGACGCGCCAGTTGGTTGAGAGAAACTCAGACCGGGCCACAAAGACATTTCCACGGCCCTCTGGGATTTTCCAAAGAATGCAGGCTCTGGGCGTGGATCGCAGCCTCATACAGAGACAGTTGGGCGCCCAACCGAACGAGGCCCAGCAGCCCAGTAGCTGCTGTACGCAGGCAGCCTCCTGGGGCCCTCCGGAAGCTTCTGGGCCCAGGCTAGGGCAGCCAGGCAGGGCAAGTAGGCCAGCTCTTTCCATAAAGGAAAGAGCTCTCCGCTGGCAGCCTCATTCGGTCACTTGCTGGCTGGCGGCAGTGCTGCTGGAGCGATTGCTCGCGGGCTGGCTGCCGGCATTGGAGCAAGAGGCTGCGCACGTGCAGTCGTGTGTGGGAGCAGGGCGCTGCTGAGGGCAGCGCCATAGCCAGCCTCCATAGCAGGCTCGGCTTGGATACACAGTGAGGCGCAGGGGTGGTCTTCGGGTGCAAGAGAGGACAGGTGTGGGTGTTAAGTCAGGGAAGGGCGAAGGATGATGATGWYGATGATGTGAGGGCACTTACCTTGTATTGGCGATGGTCAGCATAWGGGCGACATCTTCAAGTACTTCGGGTTGCYGCTGATGTCAACAKTTGCATTGTCTATTATTAGGYTGATCGTAGCTGTGTAGGAGTAGGCTGGGCGCTSAGCGCCAAGTAGGAGTGTGAAGGGACTGGACTCTTGTGTTGCTGAAGGAGAGAGGAAGCTCTCCATGACATTGGTTTTCAGTACTACGAACCTCCATTGGTGTATTATTGGTGCAATGTTGCTCTCTGGACACAATGTGACTATCTGGCTTTTTATGTGATGGTGTAATCTGGATTTGTCATCTCGCTGTTGCTTATTTTCCTTGCAAATATTCCTCTTCTTCTTCGTTGTCTTCTTCCTCTTCTGCTATGTATAATGCTGCATCTAGGCCTGCACACTCGAGACACCCACCCCCCATAAAGTTGCATAAAGTGCCATAACCCATCCGAAAGGCTGAAAGGGAACCACCCCCACCCCTCCCCCTAGGGAACATCCCCCCCAAAAAACATCGCCCCTTCAAAATTTTATAGCGGAATCCCACAGATCTCAACGAGCACAGTCGGATGCCATAATAAAAAAATAATTAAAAAAAAAAAAACATTGGGCATTTGTTTGGGCTAATTCGGTTTTTCGGTTCACTCCCCCCCCCACCGATCCGGATCCGGGTGGACCGGGTAGGTCGACCGGCCGGTTGCCGGCCCAGCCCTGCAATAATAATAATAATAATAATAATAATAATAATAATAATAATAATAATAACAATAATAATAATAATCAAGTTGAAACTGTTGAACACCTAACCAGATACAACATATGGGCGTACCTGTGTGTTTGTACTCTGGACAAAATAGGCAGTTGTGTCTGTTGTAGTGAATGCATTCATATTCCTTGTACCGGGTAGGTCGACCGGCCGGTTGTCGGCTCAGCTTCCTATTTTAATTGGAGCGCCTGATATGGCCTTTCCACGATTAAACAATATCAGTTTTTGGTTATTACCACCATAATTATTACTTCTTCTAAGTTCTGCTTTAGTGGAAGTAGGTGCTGGTACCGGGTGGACGGTCTACCCACCTTTAAGCGGTATAACCGGTCATTCTGGAGGAGCTGTGGATTTAGCTATTTTTAGTCTTCATTTATCGGGTGTTTCCTCAATATTGGGTTCGTGAACGTGAGGTGCGGGTAGGATCAGCAATCACAGTGTGTTTTTGTGTGTTTTATTTATTATTCCTGGCAGCTTTAGGTTTTTGTGACAAATCGGGGAACCCTAAACCCAACTTCTTTTATTTCCAAGATCCGCAGAGAAACTCTGTGTCACGTATCTCCCGAATTCAAGATCAAAAGTTTTTGGACTTAATAGCATTTTTCTTTTTGAGTGCAGGTTCTGGTCCTTTTTGTCCGCAACCTGCGGCGGTTGCCCTCTCTATCGACGACCCTCTATCGGCAATGCTCTTCAGTCGCATGACAAATTTCTCAAGCTCATGAAGTACCATGGCATTGCCGGGTAGCTACGTTGGTATGGGAGAACCGCTGAAAGCATATAAGCGGGAAACCCCTCTTGAAAAAAGTTATCACCTGACCCCTCAATCGGACTCTCCTCACGGTCTCGTCGTCAGCATAGAGTAGTTAGGTACTACGAGCCCTCTGTCCCATTCGACCTGAATGGTTCACCGGTTCCACCAAATGCTCTCATCCCGAAATGGGATTCCAACTGTCAGGTTGGACGAGAACGCAGATTGCGCTTCAGGTGCTGTTGCCACTTCGCCTTCACCGTTTTGAGCTCGTTTATTACCTCTAAGTTTCCATAGAGGAGAGAAGGTTACGTTTTCTCCAGCTCCAGGATGTGATGAGTCAAAATCGCAATTGTGTTAATTGAAACCACAATAAATAATACGATGATTCAGAGAAACGTGTGATTTCTGAGCCTATTGAAATGACTCAAGAATTTCGTTATTTTGATTTTTCGAGTCCTTGGGTCCCTTGAGTGTGCGACGGACTAACTCAAGTCCGTCGATTTAGGCTCCTTCCCGTCTGCTGATTCACTTAGTTAGGTACTACGAGCCCTTTGTCCCATTCGACCTGAATGGTTCACCGGTTCCGGAAAAAATGGAATGGTAGCGGCTTCGCTCCTTTGTGGTCAAAAATCTCTAAACACACGCAGCCAGGCACGATTTCAAAGGCGCGAAGCACTGCAACACTCTTCGAGCCTTTTTTTTTTACTACTGTATGGAAAAAAGGAAAACAAAAAAAAAGGGMGAAGCTTAGGGAAATTTGCATATATGTTTTCAAAGCTTCAGTCATTTGTGTGCAAATAAATGATGGTTTTTCTATGCGTAGAACAAGAAAAGGTTTAGCTAATAAAAAAACAAATTCTTCTGAGAAACAATAACAAGTCAATAAAGTGAAAACAAAACAAATAAAAATCCACAAAAAACGAATTCGAGCTTCCTCGATAATCATTTTCAATACTGAATTCATTATCCGTAAATTAACATACATGAACGGATGGAGAGGGATTCGAACCCCCGGTCTTAAAAGTTGTGAAGCAGGTCGCATATCATATCAAGGAATTGAAGCGGCGCGTCGTGCCATCACCAGGAAATTTCAAAGAAATGGTAAAATATGGGTGAGAGTTTTTTCAGATATTCCTCGGCCTTAAATGTCAAATAAGAGAGGCCTGCTTCCCGTTGCGCCTTTGGCTCCACTCTGGCATTCTTTTTGTCAAAATTTGTGAACTTAGTCTGACTTTTTATCACTTTTATTTGTTTGTTTTTTACACAACCCGCAAAGTATCTGCCAAAATAATAATAATAATAATAATAATAATAATAATAATAAAGTTGAACACCTAACCAGATACAACATATGGGCGTACCTGTGTGTTTGTACTCTGGACAAAATAGGCAGTTGTGTCTGTTGCAGTGAATGCATTCATATTCCCAGTATTTCCATATACAGCCTCAGTGAAGGCATCGTTGATCGGATACCTCCGACTGCCACCAAGGACACCATGTTCCAGGATATGTGGAGTGCCTTCGTTCCCTGACCTGAGGCACAAAAGAAAGCAATTTGCACTGAGAAACCTTGCTGACAACCAATTTTTTGGAAAAGCTCAGGAGAATAGCTTTGCTTGCATAGAAGCGGTTTTGAAAAAGGTGCTGAGTGATTTGTGTGAGAAGATGAGAATGTAATTACTGTTTTCCCCCGAATAGAACATACGGGCAACAAAGCTGCATTTGGAGCAAACTTCGGTCTAGTACAGCAGTAATGACTGTACGTTCTATTCGGGAGAAGGTGGGAGGATCCTTTGAATGCAAGCCTGCTCACATGCCAGAAGGGGAGTAGCGGGAAGGGAGGGGGGAAGTATTGCAGGGGAAAAGGAGATACATACCACTCGTCAACAAGGAGTCCACGAGAATTTGTACCTACAATACCTGCAGTTGCTTTTCACTGTTGTAAATGAGTCAGTTTATAGCTGTTGTTGCAGTTTGTTTTTGTGCAATCATAGTTCCTTGGCTTTCTTTTGCTTAAGCTGCTATTGGCAGATGGTTTTGGGGTGTTGTTTTTCATAGGAGTTGATAAACCTGTAAGGGACACTGGGCCCGTTTCCCAGCACTGTGGCAGTTGTTCCATTCTGAATGTTGTAGATGGTGGACGAGACAAGGGACACTGGGCTCGTTTCCCAGCACTGAATGCCTTGCTTTGGGGTAGAATAGGTTTTCAGCAAAGGCGGTCTTGTTCATACTGGTTTGTTTTTGCTTTTTTCCAGCATGGGAGACCACGGTACGCCTTCGCTGATGAAACCTCAGCCTCCCCATTGCTCTATCAGGCTGTGTAAGGAATGCTGGTCCCGGTTCCTAGCTTTGAAAATAAATGAGAATGCTAAAAACTGTGTAGCACACCGAACATGTTCGGAGCTTTTCCGACAAAAAGAGAAAGAGGAGCTTCATGGTATGCTTGTTTAACAACTTTAACTGTTGACTAGATGACCTTTTGCAGCTTCGCTTGCAAAAACAAATATGATGGGCGATGCATTCATGGTGTAGGCAAC